GTTGACGAGGCTGTAGGATCTGGGTTCAGGATGGATGCATGGATGGCCGTTCGGGTTTGGTATCCGGCTCCAAGGTTTAAGGACTTGGAGTCTTGGGTTTCCTGGCTATTCCGAAAGGCTCAGGGTCGTCCGCTGCGGCGATGATCCTGCAGAAGAGGTGACAACAGATTCCTGGCACAACAAATGGTTGAGCACTTCAAGCCTTTGAAGACGACATGCTCGAAAGCCTCGCTATCGGGGTGAGATGGGGTGGGGAAGAGAGGATTTCAGTCAAGCAGCAGCTCGCAGCACATCAACCCCAATCCCCGGCCCCTTCCCTTCTTGCCCAGGGCTCGTCCTAGCTAGGGAGAGTCCGAGAGACCCGGATGTCGCCTCAAGGTCGGTGATGGCTCAGGAGCCACCCCCCTGCATAGAGCTGCTCTTGCGGGCGCTGCAGGTGGCAGAGCCCGGGTTCTGTAGGGTTTAAGACTCGTTGGGCTCTGGACGTCTTGGGGCCCGTTCTAGGTTTTCAGAGCCTTTGGGCTCAGTCTTTGTAGTAGCGACCTTGGGTCTGCGGTTCAGGCTTGATCGGGCTGTGGGGTTAGGGCACCCGACTCTTTGGGATGATTTCAGTCAGGTGTTCAGGGCTTCCTTGGAGGTCAGGTTCGTGCTGTTACGACACGTGGGCTTGTGTGATTGAACAGGTAGGTCTTCGGAGCCGGGGCTTTGGAAGGTTAGAGCAATTTAAATTGTGCAGTAACTCTTTGCGGCTTATTTCGGGGTTCGGGCTTCGTAGGAACAGAGTTTATGCTGTCTGTGGCTGAAGCAGTGGCCTAGAATACACAAGAAACGGCATGTTATTTTTTAGGAATTTGGGTGCTTGGGTTCATGGCTCCTGAGTTGGAAGACTTCTGAGTTCAGGGGTTCTGTGCTTCATGCGGAGGGTATGTCAGTGATAGAAAAGCCTGTGCTTGCCGGAGCCAATCATTCTCCAGTTTCGGTGTAGACGCAGCGTCGGCCTGTCTTGGATGAGCGGGCATGTGAAATTTGGGTATATGCAGAACTTATACCATCAATGTAGTTTGCAAGGGTTGGCTGCTAGAAGAGCATAGAAGAGCTGCCCAAATCTACCGCTGTCACGATCTATGTGCTGTCGTGCCCCAGCTGTCACGAGCTCATCACCTCCCAACGTGTCATCGCAGCTTCAAGTACATCGATGTCGTGCAGATGTACCAACCCCGATTCTGTCCAGCCCATTCTCGAAGCCTTCTGCATACGGAGCAAAGCTATGTTCTCGCTTCCGTAGCTCAAAAGTCCAATCCGAAATGTACACCTTAACCTGCGGGAAGTCATGCCCAGGAGTCATGCGGTGACTCGCAACCGTGATAGGCCCTTCCCTGAAAGCTCAAGTTGGGGATTCAGGTTGTGTAGCGGTCCTCGCCCAGTCCGCCAGCATCCCAGTTGCTGTCAGTTGCTGTGAAGCCACCAGCTGTCCCAGGGCAAGGGATGCTGCGGGCTTCTGTCAACGATGTCTTAATTTTTCTACCCCTAGAGCCCCTTCATTTTTTAGGCCTCCGGGTGCACTTGAAGTCAGGAGACCTGCGAAAATTGACACGTTCCTGGTTGCAAGAATCCAAGCCACCTCGATCGATGAGTCATCTCGGAGCATCAGACAACGTACAGAATATACAATCCTGCACTGGGCAATCCGACCTCACTCCCTCAGTTGTTGTGATGTGTGACACCCGCAACCTCAATCTCTCTATAACTATCCAAAATCGGCTTCATGGGCCACTCTTGTAATTGCAAGCGGCTATACCCTACCACTTGCCCCCAGCAGAACGCAAGTTGCAGGCTCCCGGACAGCTGGATGTGGCCCAGTCCCGTGGCCCAGCTTTGGGTTTGAGAGAGAAGGTTTTGTGGAGGCTTTCGGGCATCGCACAACGATGGTAAGACCCAAGAACCGAAGCCAGAAACATCAAGCTTGCAGGGATTCGGCCTGATTTTTTGCGTTGCAAGGGGATTTCGGTTGCTGCCTGGCTGTTTCACCCGTCAAGCCACAGGCCAAGGCTCAAAGGGTCTCTTCAGAGTCCTTTTCCAAACAATTTAAAGCAGGCTTCTCCTGTTTAGACATAGACGTCGGCAAGACTCTTCTGGTCCTTCTGGTATCAAGGCGCCGAACTGGCGGCACGGCGCTGCATGCAGCAGCCCAATCCTCGAAGGGAGTTTTAGAATTTGGATTAGGGGCTTTAGGCTGCGGTCTCAGTGGGCACAGGGCCGAAGGCTTGAAGAGTTTATGAAAGAACTTATGGGTTTAGGGGTTATGGTGTTGTGCTAGTGGTCTAGGGTTCAGCAGTCTAGACATGTTGAAAGAAAGAGGTGTGTAGCTGGTGGATGAGGGCACGACCTGCTGGGGATTACGGCTACAAGCTATAGAGTGGCGTGTGGCATCCGGGACTTGTGATTAGGGGTGCGTCCTTGGGTTCTTCGTAGCATACCAGCATAGAATCGCATTCTAGAATCGTCGCATCTCGTCTTATGTCACTGGGTCTGGTGGCAACATTGCCCCCCGAAGCAGCACCTGTGTTGTAGTGTGGTGCCTCGTTTTTTGCATGAGTGTTTGAATTTTTGCCGTTTTGGATTGAATTGGTTTGTGACTCAGGCCTATTTGGGCCACGTCAATGTCATCGAGGAGCTTGGCAGCTTTGCATGTTTGCCTGTGATTCAAAGACTTCCCAGTTGTGTGATGGCACAACTTCAAGGAAGGTGCAAGTGCTGCGATAGCACAAAGGGAATGTACGAGTGCTGCGACAGCATGGAAATGTGAGTGCTGCGGGTAGCACCCGAGAGAGTGCATCGGAGTAGAAAGTGCAGCGATACTGCATCCGACTAGAGAGTGCTGCCATAGCACGAATGTCGGGAAGTTGCATCAGTGCATAGCAACAGCGTTGATTCAGGTTCCGTTCCCCGAAGCTGAAGGTAGGCCAACGTAGGAACTATATATTAGAGATATGTAGAGGATGTCTTTTAGTCAGCCTAACCTAAAGATTCTCGGTTTTCGGATTTGGTCCGGTACGATTGGGGGTCCTTGTTTCCTGTCTCACGCCGACCTCGTACCATTGACCTCGCCTGGCATGTCCGAGTTGTGAGAGCGTAAACCGAAAACCTCAGTGGCATTTCCGAGCGTGAGTGCTGAAACCCTGAATCCGTGAGCTTTCAAGCCAAGCAGACCTATTCAACCCGACGAAGTGCTATTCCTCAGCATTCTTGAACTTAGCTCTACTATATAGTCTAGGCACCAAGACCCTAGTATAATTACTCGGGCGCCTGTCTTTCAAAGCCAACACAAACCCCAGGAGCTCCTTCGAGCTGGCGTCCCTGACCCGGGTTTTAATGCGTGTGTCGTGGGGGACGGGGCGGACTGTAGGTAGGGCCCAAGTGTTCGCGATTGTGGCTCTTAGGGCTTCGGATTTCGGGCCTCAAGATCAAGTTCTCATGCAGAAGAAGATGATGATAACCATGATGCCGCGATGATGGCAATGAAGATGATGATTATTGTTATGATGAACATGATGAGCATGATGATGACGGTGGCGGTGATGATGATGATGACGATGATGAGTATGAGTCTTGGTTTTGCACAGTACAGAGTGGCTTTCCTCAAAAGTCGAAGCTTCAGATGCTTTGGCAGTGTTCAGCATTCGACTCAGGTTGTGTGAGGTGTCTGACAGCACGGCAACCCCAAACTCACAGTCCGTAAGCCTGCATGCGGAACTCAGACGGCTGCCTTTCTCCTACAACCCAAACTCAAATTCCAGTCCGAATCTCGATTGCGATCAGCGCTGTGTCAATGTTTGAGTTTGGACGGCCCCCTCCCCCCCGTCTCCCCCCAGCTACCGCCCCGAACCAAAAACGGGAAATAAGCACGCGGAAGCAGCAGAGGCCTCGCCTTGCTCCCGAGTTCTCACCTCAGCCACGCTTCTTCCTGGGCAAGCTGCCAGGGGTTCTTGAACTTTAGAAGGTCCGCATTAATTAAGGCATCCTTCGGCATCTGTGTTCCGGGTCCTTGTTTCCTGGAAACTTCATAGAAGCTTGCGGAAGCCCAGAGACCACAGCCACGCCCCTAAACACTGTACATGCCGCTACATGCTAAACGCTGACACCCTCCAGCGTTCATGCCTTCTTGATTCGTTGAGGCTTTTGAGCTGGGTAGCATAAGTGTCAGGTGTTTTGGGGTTTCAACTATGCTGCAGCTGGGTCTTTGGGCTGTCTGAACTCTCACTCGGGCTGTATGATGTCCAGAGTTCAGGAATGTCTGTAAACTAGGCTTTCAGATTGAATCACCACTTCGTGATGGTCTCTCTCTCCCTATGTCCCGTGCTGAGAGGTATGGCCTTGGAGAGATGTTGTTTGGGCGATAGCCGATAGCCTTCACGGAAAGCTCTTAGAGGATAAGGGGCTGGGCTGTAGGGTCCTGAAGCTTCGAAGCCTTTTGTGACCGTCAGGAAGTCCTGTTTCATCTCGGTATGAGAGTCGAACTTCTACATCCAGCAGCACTCAGCAGTCTTCCCTGCTCCCCCAAGCACTACAGCTTTAAGCACGAAGCTAAAACAAACCTGGTTCGAGACTTTTCCTCATGTAATGTGCCAGGATGACGGGGAGCGATGTAGACAGAAAAGGAATGGATGCATGGATGGGTGGATGTGCACTATATGTTCAATGTTTACGTGCAGACAAAACCGCTATGTCGGTCGATCTCTCTATCTATGTGTCTAGTTGTTTCTCTATCTCTCTATCCGTTTTTCCCTTTGTGCGTCTTCTTGTCCATCTATTTTCCTGTCTACTACTAATCTGCTTAATTGTCCATCCAACTAAGTCTAACTACGAATTATCTGTCTGTCTATCTAGCTTTTTTGCTGTCAACCTAAACGTCTGTCCCTCCTGCAGCAAAAAATATACACATCCAGCCGGAGCGCCTACCTAATCAGCAACCCCGGTGCGGGTCCGGAGACCCAGCGAAGGATCATCAAGGCCGTGTGCCTCTGGACCGCTGGGTCGAAGAGGACCACGACGAGGCGCCCAGAGAGTTGTTTTGGGTTTAGGGTCCGATATAGGGGTCTGTATACGTATTGTTCCATTCCATGAGGGTTGTTTACGTCCTGAAGGCTCCATAGCCCGAGATTTCTTGAATGTTGCAGTGCTGGACCCGAAATCGCAGGCAGTTGAAACCGGAAGCTTCACCCGCAACCCAGAACAGCAAGTCCTGGAGGTAGCGAAGATAGCCGAGGAGCCACCAGTGGTAGATGACGTGCCGCACCTGGCGGTGGTTCGAGGGAAGTTGGGGGCACTCGTGACGGCTGATCTATGAGGACACATACGTGGCTAGGAAGCTGGGTCTGTAGGGGACTGTTTGGATGATTTAGGCCTTGATGAACCTGTCTTTCAAGGGAGTGCAAGTACTAAGTTACTAAGCTGTGATTCGTTGGATCTTGTTAGGGTTTGAGACCTTGGGGCCTTAATGGTGGGATGGCAGAGGCTTCAGCACGGAATTTGGGGCACGGGAACAGGGTGCAGAAGAGAAGCTTCGGGAAGAGGCTTCGGGTAGAACTGTGCATTTGTGATTATTTTGTGGGCTATCACCTCAGATTTTGCCGCGTTGCAAAATCTGCCCTGATCAAGCACCGCTGACCTGCACCCTACCAACCCGAAGACAAGCTTCAGGGTCCTGCACTATGTGAAGTTTAGAAGCTGAAGGGCTTAGGAGTTCACGGCTTCAAAAACGAAAGTCTCAAGGCCTCGGGGAAGTTGGAACTTGGGGCGAGGATGGCAAGTGCTAAGATGTTAGAGATTAGGATGCAGATGTGCTGGCTTCTACTTCAGATGTACGGCAGACGAAAGCTCTGAGGCGAATCGCAAAGCCGTCGTTTCCTTGCTATGGACGGCGAGCGGGGTCCTCGATCATCTTCCGGGTTTCTCATATAGCCAGGGCTCAGGATCGCTTTCGGCAGTGTGCAGTTATCCTAACTCCAGTCTTTTCTCGTAGCTTCTTCGATACGCCGGGGCCTAGGCCTAGGCTGCAGAACAGAAGGAAAGTCCGTGAGGAGCACCCTCCCACCAAGGTCGTGCCTGCAAGTCTGGCACCAAAGAAAAGCACGGCTTTCGTGAGCTCTGAGCTGCTGGCATCTGCATCTGGAATCAGAAACAGCCCACCCTCACAAGAGACAAGTGCCAGCAATCATGATGCTCTTCTTGGAGAGTGGCAACCAGTGGAAGAAAACTAGTAAAGGGCTGGCTGCGTGCAGGCATTCGGACTGAGTTGAAGGCCGTACTTCGCTGCAGCAGCGGTAAGGACAAGGACAGCCGTGGGTCTAAGAATCTCATCCACCGGAATCTTGCGTGTCTCACACAGCCGAAACCCTGAAGATGAGGAAGAAGAAGGAGAGCGCGAAGCAACTTGAAGCGTATGCCGCCTGCGAACCTCGCATTATAGAACAGCTCGCAGTTGCACACCGCATGCAGGTGCAGAGCAAGCACGCAGGTTGCTATGTAATGTAGTTGATTCACCAGCTTTCTAGTTAACTTAACCACCAAAGTTTGTCAATGTTCGCTTGTGTGTGTGCACGTGTTCGCACACACCAACCCAAGCACACTTGGCTTACAATCGTAGGATCTGATGTCCTCGCTCATGCTCTGCACTCTAAACTTACTCTCTCCGTCTCCACCTCTCCCTCTCTCTCTCTCTCTATGTTTCTCTTTGTTTGTCTACTGTATCACATTAAGTTCAATCACAAGGGCGGGGAAACAGTTGGGGCTCACTAAGCCGAAGCCCCGAAACCCACGACTCCCTGTCAGTGAAACTTGGGGAATGCGCGCGACGATGATTGGTTCTTGCATGCAAGTTCGCGGGCCCATAAGTATACCCTCAGATCCATAGACAACGAGGAGGATGACAGGATCATGGTACGATCGGAGTCTCAGCATGTAACTCACCGTACCGCCCGCTTATTGGAGGTACCTCCAGCCCCGTCGAATTTTCTAGAGGGGATCGGCTGCCTCAAACAACTCGGACCAAGCGAAGCTTTCCATGGCTGTTGACCCAGAGGCTGTGACGCCCCAGAACCGCATCTTAATCCCCAGTCTCGAAGCTCCAAGCCCATAGCCCTGAACTCGAAGCCCACCTGGAAGTGCCATGGTCTCGGAGCGATGGGGGCGCAGACTGCAAAGCTGGATGCTCAGAGAAATCTGGTTCCTTGATAAGGTAGACCAGGGAGCATACGGTGACTATGATGGCATGTTGTTGTGGTATCTGAAAGAGGCCCCGAACCCGAATGCAGAAATCCTGGCGAGACCCTCTCACCGTTTTCGCACAAGGCTCACACTGACAGGAAGATGCGCTTGATTGTGGGCCGATTTTCGCTACCCGTAATGACAGCTACAGAATATGGCAGTCAGAGGTCTGGCAAAGCAGGGTCTTGCTAGGCGTCTCCATCGTGCGATGTCAGGGTCTGATGTCTGAGGCCGGGTGACTACTCTGAACCAGATCTGCCGCACGGAGTCCATGAGGTGGCCTGGCTTGAAAGTGTACGGCCCAAGATCAATTTCGGATTACTAGGTTTGACTCCGCCATGTCTCGGACAAAAGCCTGACGAAACCAAAAGCAGACCCGTATATGCCGACGTCGGCTCGTCGGAATGTCCCTGGTCGGCAGTCGGCGAATCAGAATATCCACTGGACAGGTTCGGCTCTCCGTCTATACATTCGACATCACCGGTGTCTCGCTGCTGAACTCCCTCGGCTCACTGGGCACAGGCGTGATACTTTCAATCAGAGAAACCAGGCAGAGCCCCGGACATGCTAAGGTGTATAATGTTTAGGGTTGAGCTTTTATGGCTTTTTGGTGGTTTCGGGGTTTGGATTGTATAGCAGGGCGGGAAAACATACGGCAAAAGCGAGACAGCTGCACATTCGCATGCTGGGAATCCTCGTTTTGGCTGTCGGGAGGTTGCACAAGATGACACCGGAATTGTTCCTCATGTGTCGGACATTAGCCCAAGGTGTCTAGACCATAGATCCAAGGAAAGTGATGCAAGGAAATGGGAGCCTGCTCTCTTATGTTGTTTGCACGGACACAGAAGCACATACATCTTCATGCATGTATACATGCATCTGTGCATTCATGCTTGCATCCATACACATTCATTCATAAATAAAAATGAATTCGTACACATAGGTGCTCAGTCATACATCCATGGATCCGCACATCCATCCATCCATCCATCCATCCATCCATCCATCCATCCACGCGTGCATGCATGCATGCATGCATGCATGCATGCACAGTGTATACATACATGCATGAATGCATGCTTGCATACATATCATAGTCGCATGCATGCCTCCCCCTCTTTCTCTATATATCTATAGTATCTATCTGTTTGTCTGTATGTCCATCTGTCTAGCTAGCCAGCTATCTATCTATCTATCTATCTATCTATCTATCTCTCTATTTCTGTCTATCTAGCTATCTTTCTATCTATTTATGTATCTATCTACCGATCTACCGATCTATCTATCTATCTATCTATCTATCTATCTATCGTTCTTTCTTTCGATCTATCGATCTACCGATCTACCTATCTATCTATCTATCTACCTACCTATCTACCTATCTATGTATCTATCGATGTATCGATCGATCTACCTACCTAGCTATCTACCTAGCTATCTACCTAGCTATCTAGCTATCTATCTATCTATCTATCTATCTATCTACGTGTGTGTGTCTGTGTTATATGCATATCTGTGTGTGTGTGTGCGCATGTGTGTGTGTGTGTGCCTGTGTGTTTACATCCTACAGATACAGAACACGGCCCAAAACATGCTATCGAGGCGCCTACCACAGCGGTCTGGTCGTGCTTGACAACGAATGGGTGCCTTGGCCAGGTGGCGATCAGCACTAGACTAGACGCGAGTCGTGAGCCCACATCACCCCAAGCTCCGAACCTCACGACAACCGACTTAACGCCAGACAAGCACCCATAGCCTGAACCCAGATTCCGGCAGCGCCTGGAAGATCACTTGAATCAGTGTTAGTGCAGACTGAATCCTACCTTGTGACTGTAACTACCCCAACGCACACATATGCTTCATCTGCAATCGATTACCCACCACAAACCTCGCTTCGCATGTCCGAATGCACGTGCCGCAACCCCAAAAGCCTTTAGCACCTTAACCCAGCAAGCCCTGAAACCCTCATTCTTGAATCTCCCAAGTCCTATGGTGGCCACAGCGAGCCCGGCTCGAGCGGCGCCTACAACTGCGAGCCAGAGCACAATCCGGCCTCGGACTGAGCTGCTGAAGCTAGAGCAGACCGCGATGACTACGAACGGGAGTCTAATGGTATTGCTAGTGGCAGTGCTTCGCAAGTTTCAGCACGCTGGGGCTGCCAGGGTTGGGGTTAAGTGGCTGGTGCGCAGTTCTGACGTTCTGTTGGACAGCAAACTCTTCACCAGGATTGGGGTAAAGTCGTTGTTGGGCGGTGCTGGCGGTATCTTGGAGAAGCCAAGCCTGTCAGCCAGGATTGGGGTAAAGCAGCTGTTGGGCAGCTGACGTTATCTCGATGACCTGTCAGCCAAGAGTTAAATAGTTGTTGACGCCATCTCGATGCCATCAAACCCGTCAGGCAGGATTGGGGTATGTAAAGTAGTTGTTAGGCCGCGCTGACGCTATCTCGGTGTCTTGAAGCAACCAGACCTGTCCAGGGTGGAGTGCCAATTCATTGAAGGCCCCTTAGACATGTACTCGGTGACCTCAGTGACGGCTGCAGATACAAAAGACGAGCCCAGGAATACCAGTTCTTTGACCGCGTGGCCCTGCTGGCTGATTTGCAAAACTCCAACCGTGGTATGGAGTTAGGCAGCTGCGGAAGCTTCACTTACCTTTGAATGTCCCGCGATACAACGAATGCTGTATCCTGCAACGCACTTTTGCTAAATTGAGCCCATGAATCTAGGAATCTATATAGGCCTGCAGGGATACCGAACAATGCCACGCTGTTGGAAGTGGCGGCTTGAAAGAGCAAAAGCCCAGATTATAAGCTGATGCAAGTGTTTGGGAAGTGGGAGTTTGGGCGTGGGATGGTTTAGGGTTTTGGTTTCGGCTTGTGAACAGATCCTCGCTTCCACATTCATTCTAGCACAGGCACTGACTTAGGCAGATATCGGGCAAGAGTCGTTGATTCTGTGCAGGAGGAGAATTCCGGTTGCAGTCACGAGCAGCACGTCAGCAAAGTTGTTTTGAGTGGCTGCGATCAGTTTCTGACTGGTTGAAAAGATTTCCCATGACAAGTTTCAAGCTGTGGCACCACTT